AAAAAATATGAACAAAATCATTTGAGAAAACTAACCGCCTAATTTATATAATTTATTATAACAAAACAAGTAGCGAAAATCAAATATATAACATACATAAACCAACAACTTCCATGGAAATACTGGCTCCTGACTTGGGACAGGCACATAAAGAATGTGGCAGGTTAAACAAGTTTTTGGTTGCTCATCCCTCCCCTAACCTGGGACAGTGGTGTTACAGCACAACATAAGAACAAACTATAAAAATCAGTTGAAAAGGTTTCATCATATTTTTATAGGTCAACTGTCTTGAAATGATCAACAAGTGATTGTAGAATTTAATAAACATCTCAATTGTCAATTGAATAACCAAAAACACACAAACATCTACTGTCAACACCAAATTCCCTGAAACAAAAGCTTTAAGGGGCTCGCGGGTATATCTCAATATTTGTTTTTAAATATAGGATTTCACTATTTTTTTCTAGAAATAAACTTTATCCTATACTTAATAGAAAAATAAAATAAAAGTATAGGGTCACCGTTCATTTAAGGTCACAATCTGTCTTCGAAAGAAGCATGCATTTTTGTTAAGTTACTTCTTTTCTGTTGAACTAATAGGAGAAAAAAAGGGAATGTCGAAATAAAAAAAGAACTAAATTACAGAAATTGCTTAAATTTTAGAATAGTTTAGTACAGCTTATTTGAGTACAGCTTATTTGAAAAAAATAGTAAAAATATAGGTCACCGATGTGTTAAAAAAGATATTCAATTTTAATGCAAAAAAATTGCATTTTTTCATCAAAGGGAGATAATTTGGAGCTTTTTAAATGATATAAACAATTCAAAAGTCATCTGGGGCCAAAATGAATTGATTTTTTTGGTTGATTTTTGTACCATATCATAAAGTAACAACTAATAGTGTAAGAAATAAAAATTTGTAATGAAAAAAAAAAGTTTAAATTTTTGCTGAATTTTTATACCCTCAAGCCTCCTTAAGATACAACTTTAGGTAACAGGAACGGTCTTGACTTTGGAAAGCCACATGAAAACTCAATACTACTCCCCTTTTAAATCTTGATCAGTATTTGTTAAATGAAAAAAAGTAACATAAAAGAATGCAGGTTGCCAGGAACATTCAATTGGAGAAAGGGAAAAGAACTCAACTCTACACTAAATAATTTTGAAAACTATTATTGGCTATACTATCTTTATTGATAAAAAATGTCAGAAAAGTTATGTACATTATGATCATGTTGATTGTGTGAAAAGTCACACAAGGTAATCAAAATGGTCAGAGGGGGAAAAGAAGTTTTGTTATAAATGTCAAATGTGATAGTCTCAACCTATCAACATGATCAAAATTGTTGATTTCACCATTTATATTTACATTTAGCATGTTCAGCGGAATAGCACGTTTTTGTTATATTTTACTAAATGTTATTTTACTTTTCTCTTATAGGCAGGAGTGAAAGGAAGAGAAAAAGTCATCAGTAAAGAAACAGATCAATTTACATTAACATGTAATAATTCCATCTGAATATAACAAGCATTGCACATGTTATGAAGATTTATTCACATGTTACTATGATTTGTAGTTATATTTTATTGTATGTATTTGTAATATTATATAGAACATGTATTTTATTTTAGAACAGTATTTTTCTTTTTCGTCGAGCCTGCGATTTTGTCGCAGAAAGCTCGACATAGGGATAGTGATCCGGCGGCGGCGGTGGCATCGTTAGCTAACTTCTTAAAAGCTTTATATTTTAGAAGGTGGAAGACCTGGATGCTTCATACTTTGTATACAGATGCCTCATGTTACGATGTTTCCGTGTGTCACATTTCCATTGACCTTGACCTCATTTTCATGGTTCAGTGACTACTTGAAAAAAAGTTAAGATTTTTTGTAATGTTAATTTCTCTCTTATTAAGAGTAATAGGTTAACTATATTTGGTATGTGCGTACCTTGCAAGGTCCTCATGACTGTCAGACAGTTTTCACTTGACCTCGACCTCATTTCTTGGATCAGTGAACAAGGTTAAGGTTTGGTGGTCAAGTCCATATCACAGATACTATAAGCAATAGGTCTTGTATATTTGGTGTACAGAAGGACTGTAAGGTGTACATGTCCAACTGGCAGGTGTCATCTGGCCTTGACCTCATTTTCATGGTTCAGTGGTAAGTTAAGTTTTTGTTTTGGTCTGTTTTTCTTATACTGTTTGCAATAAGTCTACTATATTTGGTGTATGGAATGATTGTAAGGTGTACATGTCTAGCTGGCAGGTGTCATCTGACCTTGACTTCATTTTCATGGTTCAGGGGTCAAAGTTAAGTTTTTGAGTTGTGGTCTTTTTTTCTAATACTATATGCAATAAAGGTCAACTATATTTGGTGTATGGAAATATTTTATGATGTACATGTCAGTCTCGCAAGTTTTATTTGACCTTGACCTCATTTTCACAGTTCATTGCTCAGTGTTAAGTTTTTGTGTTTTGGTCTGTTTTTCTTAAACTATAAGCAATAGGTCAACTATATTTGTTGTATGGAAGAATTGTAAGCTGTATATGTCTGCCTGGCATGGTGCATCTGACCTTGACCTCGTTTTCATGGTTCATTGGTCAATGTTTAGTTTTCTTGGTTAAGTCTATTTCTTAGAAACTATAAGCAATAGGTCAACTATATTTAGTGTATTGAATGATTGTAAGGTGTACATGTATTTCTTGTTTGGTTTATATGACCTTGACCTCATTTTCTTGGTTAATGTGATAGTGGTAGTAAAGCTTTATATTTAGGACTATCAACATAACATCAATAATTAGTAAAGAAGGCGAGACATTTCAGCGTGTGCACTCTTGTTATATTTTGTTGTGGAGAACATCAAAGAAATTTAGAAAAATATAATTAAAGATAAAGTTTCTTCCATGTTTTCTGTGACAAAAACAAAATTGTGCAAATTAGGAAAATGAAATGAGGCTACATTATTGAATATTTTTGAGTTTGAGTTTTTTCTTTTTATTCCTATTTTAAAATTTCATTGGCATTTGAAGTAATGAGTTAAAACTAGTTTTTATCAATTATTTTGTTTTCAAGATGTACAAACAGTACAGTAGGTTAAGGTTTTGTGTACAATAGTTTACTATGATGTTATGGTAAAATAAACTTGAAACTTTGTACATTCAAGTGTTCATTATGAAGTCATTGATTTTTTAAGTAATTACAAATAAGTTACTGAATATGGAAATCTGATTGTGGAAGCAGGGTATAATGTGTTATGGAAACACATCTCAATCCCATAGAGCACCGCCCTCCTCACCAGCCTCTCAGTAATGGAATATTGACTTTGAAAATTTCCTTAGTTTACACTGTAAGATTTGTAAGAAGTTCAGTTTAAGGAGAACCACTAAAAGTAGGTCAGGGATATTTTATATGCAGTTGAATAAGCTTTTGGACAATACATGTGCTTGGGGATTTTTTTAACCTGAACCCTAAATCATGGTTTTATAACTTAGAATCTTTTGCAGTTTATATGGAAAGTTTATGCTTAGGCCAGTTTAAAATCGACCACTTATAAGAGGAGGCCTAAGCCCCCCTTTTTGTGGGACAAATTTGGTTGATATTATATTTAGGAAATTTCTAAAGCATGACAAAAGAGATGCAGTAGAGAGCAACCTTAATATTTCTTAGAAAATACTTTTTTAGGACCTGTAATGAAAAGTATGGTTATAAACAAAATACATATTTTTTTCAGTTAGAAACATATTTTTTATGAATCAAAATTTTAACAAATGTTGGAAACAAATTTACATAAAAACTTTCTAAATGTATCAAAATTCTGTGTTGTAATATCTTATAGATTTTGTTTTTTCTGGATTTTTCCCAATATGTTTAAGAAATCTGTAGCATATAATTTTAAAAATTTGCTTGCAGATTTTATTTCGGGATTTTTCCCGAAATGGGTAAAAAAAATCTATGTAACAAGTGTGTGCCTGATAATAGATTTATATTTTCGGGATTTTTCCCGAAATGTGAAAAGAAATTATTAGTCATGAGTTCTAGCATATACGTTCTGTTTTCGGGATAAATCCCAAAATATTCGAAGACATCTGTGTTATACATTTTCCACTTAGTTTATTTTTGTCGGGATTTTTCCCGAAATGTGTTTCAGATCTGTTTGTCAACATTCTTTGCCAACATATATGTTATAAATAATAATGTTGAAAATGATTTTGGGACATTTCCCGAAAAGTTGTCACATACATCTTTACCACAAATTTTTAAAAACTTTCATATATTTTGGGAAATTTCCCAAACATTAAATGTAAATTTTATCAATTATAAGAATAAAAACATGGAATATTGTAAAATATGTGTGTTTCTTTATGAAATCTGCATTCAATTTATGGTAAACATTGAAAAAGATTATAGAAAGGAATAAAATGGATTTTACTCTTTTAAAATAGATTCAGTTCTGTTGCTTTTCAAGCCCTTGATATTCCTTCTATCCTAGTTTTAGATATTGGTTTTTCATCAATGTATTTTGGTTATATTTTTTTCATTAGGTTGCTGTCTCATTGACGCATACCCTGTATCTCCTTTCGATCACAATTAGTTATGCATGTTCTAAATACATGTAATCTATAATCTATATTTAAGATTTATTCTCAAAGTTTAGACGCACTATCTTCTGTTTCTTGCACACATATTGATTAATATATAAAAAAAAACTGGAAAGATATTTTGATATAAAGTTGATGATCTTTCTACAATATATAGTCAGCAACAATTAAAAAAATGAATGCTATTAGAGAGTATGGGAAAGGATATTTATAGGAGCAACAAAATATATGTAAAGATTTTAAACCATAGAATTTTTTAAGAAATCTTCAAGACATTCAATTACTGTTTTTCTAACTTAGGATATTACATGGTTAACAGTCTTCAATGCCCTTTTCGCAAGAAAAAAATCCATATTTTGTTAGACATCACATGAAAATATAGTTTAAAAAGGGATTTTTACCTGTAATGATGGTGACTTTGTCCTGTAAAGACGCCATGATGATATATGAGCTGCGTCGGATAGAAATCGACCTTATGCAAATGTATATCAAATAAATCTGTTAACCTAATTCGGGTTGAAAAATCTCTACGGTTGTACGGTTGTATAATGAGTTGTTATAAGAACCCTACAAAACAGATCAAAATTATTTTTTTATTTTGTATGTAAATGTTCAAAAATTAATCAAAGTCTTATACATGTACACGTATACGTGCACTTGCATAAGGTCGATTTCTATCCGGCGCAGCTCATATATAAGTGAATAAAGATAAACTAAAGTAGTAGCATATGCCTTTTTATATTCATACATGTATCAGATTAGACGATAACAGTCGTTAAATTTGCATCCGTTTATGTAACGATCGTTACGAAAAGGTCATTCAAATACATTTTAAAACAAGTTACATCTTAATGGAAAATATATTTAACTATAAAAGTAAACAAACGTCAACCACAAAATATAAATAGATAAGAGAACGTGATATCTTAATTTTATTTAACTTAATTTATCAGAAATGTATTGCACATTGTGTTGTAAATAATTGACCGTTTTAGGATATTTCTACAATTTTTACATTATACATATTTTTTCCAAAAAATCTGTTAATCGGCCATGTTTTAACAGGAATTGTTACGATAAAGATTTATGGAAAAAGAACGAGAACAATGAACAATTAATACAAAAGGCATGTTTTGCAAGGTATGTCGACTGGGATGAACGGCAGGTGATTTGGACTGCCGCTGAGGGTAATGTTGAATAGAGGTAGAAATTTTGCCTGGCAACAGACCACCTACGGACCATTTGGAGAGTTGTTGCAAGGGTTCTTCAGCGTGTAGAGTGCACGTCACTCGACCTACAGGCGACATTCGGAACGGACGTTGCTGCGTATTTATACATCCACATAGCCGAACAAACACACCATTTAGCAAGGGTTTAAATACCAGACTAGGTGACTAAGGATATTAACTTGAACGAACTCTTGTAAAGATCTTTTGTTCTCATCCGATACCTGGCTTCAAATTTGCCTTGTCCAACTGAATTCTTTCAACAAAAATTAAGTATTAAGTGGATAATATTTTCGTTACAGATTTGTCTGTAGAAAGCTAGTATGTTAAGAATATTGCATTGGATATACAAATCCTTCAATTTATATTTCAAGTGATGTTTTGGGAAAGTAAATATATAAGACTTAGTGAAGTACACATTGGTTTTTGATTAATTACACGTATAGTATGATCCTGCTTTGTCTATCTATAATTGTTCTCAAGATATTAATAGTCATAATTACTTACATCCACGTCAAAATCTCATATTGCCCAAAATTGGACATATTTGATTTTAGATAGAAATAAAGAGATTCTTACATGAAACGAAATTTAAGCACATGACAAAGATTATAGACTTAAAATATATGTACAAACACATGCAGAGTAATCATATGGTGTTTTACAATGTATGAATGAAATAGTAGTTTCTGTCTTCCTAAAAACGTTTTGAGGGTCATTCTGCAGTGTTGCTAGGATAGATGCAAAGAATTTTGAAAATATACTTTCTTCGTAACAGGTGTTTGTTATGAGCTAGCAGAAGTGCAGATGCATACCATGTATTTTTAATTTTTACGCCACGTAATTCTGTAAACATTTTGATCAGTTTATGTTTATGCTTATGCTTCACTGCCAATAATGAAACGGAATAAGAGAACAGAATGATCGGCTCGGAGTTATGATTCTGAGTAGAGGGAAATATGTTCATATGGGCTGTTACTATGTAAGATAGCATGTCAAAATACAACTCAGCGCGTCCCTCTAGTAAAAAACAGGGGGAAAATATATCCATGAATTGGCATTTTATCGTTCAAAATATGATGCAGTATTCGCCGTTCAGTGATTCAGCAATACTAGTACGTTCAAATTAGTGTGGATCCCAGGGACCGGACCTGTCTTTAATGTGGATCCCAAGGACCGGACCTGTCTTTACTGTGGATCCCAGGGACCGGACCTGTCTTTACTGGGAGTGAACTTTTCTCAATTCTAATTTGAAATACAGAAGTCAGGGACCTCCCATATTCTTTGCACTAATGTTTTGTTCATGACATTTTATATTCTTATGGAGGACCTTTCACTTGAAAGTTAAAAAAATCTTGGACTTTTCATTGTTTAAAGCAAATTTGAACCGCTGCACGGTTGGACTTGTATAAAACATTCATTAATTTTAAAATAAATCAAAGTTAACGTTTGTACAAAGGATTATTACTACATGTTATAATTTATTTATTTACTCTATATACAAATATCTTGAACTATACAGCTTGTTATTCCAAATGTAAAATATATTTGTACTTTCATCTGCACCTAACTTTTAATTCCTTCTTTTGTACATGTATATGTCCTGTAGTTACAGCAAAGAAACTCAAATAACCAGATATCTAAAACTACAAGGTATATTATTCCAAACTAGATATCTAAAACTACAAGGTATATTATTCCAAACTAGATATCTAAAACTACAAGGTATATTATTCCAAACTAGATATCTAAAACTACAAGGTATATTATTCCAAACTAGATATCTAAAACTACAAGGTATATTATTCCAAACTAGATATCTAAAACTACATGGTATATTATTCCAAACTAGATATCTAAAACTACAAGGTATATTATTCCAAACTAGATATCTAAAACTACAAGGTATATTACTCCAAACTAGATATCTAAAACTACATGGTATATTATTCCAAACTAGATATCTAAAACTACAAGGTATATTATTCCAAACTAGATATCTAAAACTACAAGGTATATTATTCCAAACTAGATATCTAAAACTACATGGTATATTATTCCAAACTAGATATCTAAAACTACAAGGTATATTATTCCAAACTAGATATCTAAAACTACAAGGTATATTACTCCAAACTAGATATCTAAAACTACATGGTATATTATTCCAAACTAGATATCTAAAACTACAAGGTATATTATTCCAAACTAGATATCTAAAACTACAAGGTATATTATTCCAAACTAGATATCTAAAACTACAAGGTATATTACTCCAAACTAGATATCTAAAACTACATGGTATATTATTCCAAACTAGATATCTAAAACTACAAGGTATATTATTCCAAACTAGATATCTAAAACTACAAGGTATATTACTCCAAACTAGATATCTAAAACTACAAGGTATATTACTCCAAACTAGATATCTAAAACTACATGGTATATTATTCCAAACTAGATATCTAAAACTACATGGTATATTATTCCAAACTAGATATCTAAAACTACAAGGTATATTATTCCAAACTAGATATCTAAAACTACAAGGTATATTACTCCAAACTAGATATCTAAAACTACAAGGTATATTACTCCAAACTAGATATCTAAAACTACATGGTATATTATTCCAAACTAGGCAAAATATCTTGTGCACTATCATTTAAACCTAACTTTTATTTCCATCACTTGTGGAGGAAAAATAAAGATACTCAAAATAACCAGATATCAGGAAGTACAAAATTTGTTATTCCAAACTATTTTCTATTGTTTGCACCTGTGAGCTTTTATTTCAACCTGAAAGGGTTAAAGTAAAGAGAAACTCAAACAAGAAATTCTGATACTTCAAGGTCTGTTTTTCCAAACGTATCATATCTTTTAAATATACTATCATATGCACTTAACCTGTTTTCCTCCTCTTATGATATGACCTATAACAGCGGAAATATGAAGAAATTCAACTTGATAACCAGCTATGTAATTGGTATGTTGTTGATATAGATAAATTATTCATGCCATTCTATGAAGGTTAATATACAGTAAAAGTAAGAAATAGAATAGGTAATGGAAAAGGGGAATGTGTCAAGTGTCAAAGAGACAACAACCCAACCAAAGAGCAGAAAACAGCCCAAAGTAGTTTTAACTCGAGTATTACATTTTATTATAAAAATGTAAAATGTAATAGATATTTGCGTACGTGTGTGACAATTGATACCGGGTTTTTTCTTCGTTTGTTTATGAAAATTTAATTATTCATTTATTCATAAAAATTACTGCACATTGTTTTCGTCGTTTTATAAAATGGAATAAAACGGGGTTTACCCACATAACTTTAAAGCTTTTGTTGTTGTTGATCTTTAATTAAACAATATTAAAAGTATAAGCGAGTATAATAAGGTCATATAATTCATTTTAATCTGTTTTAAGATATATCATATTTAAATCTTAAGAATTAAAATTAATAGTTGAAATTTCTGCTTTGAAAAAGTTCGATCCTATCTTCTTTACCGTCTCCCTGGTGCATGCACGATGCGTACTAAAGTACTGAAACTTTTGTTTTGTAAAAAGAACAATACAAAAGAAGAAAATATCTTTTTTTTATAAAAGTTTCCTTCCGAACGGAATTGTTTGGATTTCCTAAGAAATCAATTGTACCAAAATATACATAGTTACTTATAAAGTCTGGGAGAACATGATGTATTTATTAGTAAAAGTTGTAATTGGCTTTTAGCTAACTCTCAGTTACTGCTAGTAGTTTTAGTCTCGGATCAGTACTTTGTAGCTTTATGTTAGTTAGGCTTTTTTTCCTTTGTGCCATTCTGATGAGTCATTTAATTTCAAACTGATTTTACTGCTTGTTCGTATGTATTACTGTTACGCCACTATTCCAGGTATGGGGATGGAGTAAGCGTTCACAATACTTTTTAACCCCGCCACATTCTCAAACTCCCCGGCAGTTCCAGCTCCGATCCGCATACTACTCTACACTAAAGGAAAATAGTTCCGGAACGGAAACGATCACTGTACGGAGTTTGCCACATTCTTTGTGTGCCTTTCCCAAAAGTCAGGAGCTTGTAATTCAGTGGTTACCGTTGGTTGTTGTCATTCATATTTATTTTTAGTTTATTATTCTGACAACAATCAGCCCGTTTGTTTTCGCGTTTGAAATATTTCCCATTTTGTCAAGCTGATGCCTTTTATATCTTACTATACGATATGACTATTGGTT